CCCTTTCTGCTGCCAGCTCCTCCCATTCTTCCCTCTGACTCTCCTCTGTGTCCCCTTTTTCTCCCACCCCTACTGCCAGGCAGACCCCATCCTTTTCTCCCATACCCATCACTGCCTCCCTGCTCGGCCGGCCCCTCCATCCCCGCAGCAGTGAGAAGCCTTAATTTCTGGTACTGTGTGAGCACTCTGGGGGTACCCCCTCCCCCTTCAGGGGCAGCTAGAGGATGAGGGGGAGGGTATTTAGCACTGGGGCCTGGAACTTTTCCCTACTTCTATACCCTATTGCCCCTAAAGTTCAAATGCAAAACACTTGAAGCAGCAACTACTGTACCTGGGCCCCAATCCTGCACTCTCCCCTGGCTCCTCATATGCAAATCAAGGGCTGGTTCTGCCCCTACAGCCTGCCCCATCCCTCTGTCCTCTCACTCCTGGCCTGGCCCCCTAACCACGCACTTTAACCTTGCTTTTTTCTTTTAACTTCTTTTGGAAGGGCAGAGCCTGTGGCCATTCCCTCCCTGGCTCTCCTCTCCCTGAACTTTGAGGCTTGTCATGAATTTTTAAGTAAGCATTTTGTCCTTTAGGGGAAGAAACAAATTAATTTCCTGCCCATTTCAAAACCACAGTCCTAGTATGTCCTATGTGTTTCAGGCATGTGTTTGCATGTATGTGGATGGGGGGACCGTGTTCTTCCTCCCGTGCCCCCCAGTCCCATAGTTCCTCTGTGCCCCTGTCTGCCTCCACCTTTTGTTACGTCTGAGAGTACCCACTGCCCCCAGTCACTCCTGATCTGAAGCCAAAGATGGTGGGAGGGGCAGGGCAGACAGGGACAGTGGCTACTCGGGACCCAGGCTTCCCCTCCAGTGTGAGGCGGAAATTGATCTAAGGAGAGATGAATAGATACCGAGGCTTGGTCCCTGCCTTCCCAGCAAGGGGGAGAGATGGGATTGAGCTAGGGGCTGCATTGATAAGATTTCTAAAAGTTGCACCCCAAAGTCAAACTGGGCTGGAGTGAGGAGGGGGCAGTTTTCTCTAAATGTAGCATTGAATTTGGCCCTGGTCCCTTTAAATGCTCTGTCCATCCATCTCCTGGTTAATCTTCCTGGACAGTTGGACCCACTCCTGTAGCCCAGCGTTCCCTTCCTCACACTCAATACCTCAGCCAGGGGCCAAGACACAGAACTTGAATAGAGGTCATGCCCCCTTCCCCCACAGTGCATCCTTGCCCAGTTTGGCTGCCATCAGTATTGTCCCCTGAGAACTGGACAGGCTTCGTTTACACAGTACAGGGTCTCCCCCTGGGGGATCCCTTGGCCTCCTTCCCCCACCCAAGTTTGCTTTCTTCATAGTCTTATCCATTTTTCAGTTGTGTCCCTGAATGTCTTGCCACCCTTGCCACGGGTGGACTGAGGGAGAGGGGCATCCCAGGGATCCCTTCCTCCCTGACAGAGACCCTTAATCATACCTCATGCTGGTTCCCTGAAGCCTGGGGTGTTTGTCCAAGTCCTTATTGTTTTCATGGTCCCTTTCTATCCCCTATCTCTCTATGTCTTGCTTCTCCCAACCCCCAGTTCCTAAACCATTTCAAGGCTTCCAAATGACCATTATTGGTGAGAACGTTTGTGCAGCTTTTAGTTCTTATTTTTGTTTTCAAAGCCAAAGGGCCTTGCAACGCCCCTCTTGCCCACCTCCCTTCACACCCTGTCCTCCCCTTTACGACAATCAATGTGACCTCTCTTAAGGGCTGCAGCCCCCACCCTCCCACCCTGCTGGTTCTGCAAAGCTTGCCCCTAACTTTAGTTCTCTCTCCTAAAATCTTCCCATTCCACCCCCTTCTCATCTTGGTGCTGGGAATTAGGTGGTGGGGGGCAAGGGGAGCAGGGAGATGGGTCCTCTGGAGAAGAGACTTGGGGTATAGTCGTGTTCTCCTTTATCAATGTTTGGCGATGACAGGAAGAGTCTGAGTATTTGTCAGGAGCCCCATTGTCTTGCTAGATGAGATTTCTGGTGGCTGTCTGTTCCCTGCTGCCCCTCAGCACACTGTCAGCAGTGCTGGGGAAGGTGGTAGGGAGTCCTCTGTCCCTCCTCATGTGGCTGTGAGGAGGCTTGGGGACAAGCAGCCTCCTCTCCTTATGCCAAAGGAAACCCCACACCTCACCCTGGGCTCCCCAGCCCCTAGTGTTTTTTTGAAGCATTTTGACCATTCTCATGGCCACTGCATATTTATTTTAATATTAAGATTTTTTTTAAAAACCTCTTTGACTTAAACGGGTGTGGAGAAGTAAAACAGGCAGAATGCCCCCCAATCTTAAGGGGGTAGGGTCAGGAGGGAATATCTCCTTCCCTTCGCCCGCCCTCTTCCCCTGCCCCTCCCCACCACAGCTCTAAAGCACTTGCTTCAAGTAATAAGCACTTTTGTGAAAAGGCCTATTTTAAGTGAGGACTCTGGGAGCAGCCCAGGTCCCAGCAAAGGAGACAGAGCGAGGGCTACATAGGAGACAGGGAAACAGACGTGTGAATCAGAGGGCGAGATGAAAAGAGCCAGTTTTTAGTTTCTGATTTTTGGGGGGATGTTTCTGATTGGGCGGTGGCTTTGGTAGGGTTGTGTACTATCCTTCAGAAAAACAAACGGCACAAACTGTGGGTCCTAGGATGGACCGACAGACCCGGGTCACTGCCACTGTCCAACTGAGACTGATGGGCCACCTCCCCTGCCCCATGGCCCCCTGAGCCATAGGACTGCTAAAAACCACTGAATGTACAGCCCAGGTTGGGGTGGGGAGCAGCCCCTGGGGGAGGGGGCTTCTCCTTTTGTTTGGTGCTGTGGGGGGTGGGAGAGATGAGACTGAGGGACTGCCACCCCATGTAGACGTGTTCCTTGGGGTGGAGGGGCTGAGGAGGGCCTACCTCCCTCTCCATCCCCAGTCGTGGCCCCTCTTCCTTCCTCACCCTATCCGTTTTGACTGTAAGTCCAGCTCACCTTTGCCTTCAATATGTAACCAAAGGAAAACTCAATACTGTTTCCACCGCTGTCTGCCCACCCAAGCACCTTCTTACTCCCTAGACCTAAAAGGGGAGAAGAGGCTGGGGGTGGGGCAGGTGGGGCCAGAGTGAATGGTTCTACGGCTGTACCCCCAAAACCTCCGGGGTCTTGGAAGGGGTCCTGAGAGGTGGGGTTGGGGCCAGGTTGGCGGGGCTAAGAGTAGGCACACTCTGTATGTTAGGCACATGAGTGTTTCCTCGTCTAAATGACTCCAGTGACTATGCTTCAGCGGGGAGGCCCCTTCCTCCTTCCCTCTCAGCCATTTCTCACCCTTTCCCCATACCCAGTGTTCATCCCTCGCCTCCCCTCCCACCACAAAGGAAAATAGCCTTACAGACCCTAGCCCAGAAACCCTACTCCTGGGGCAAACCAGTTTGGGCCCCCCATCCCACCTAGTTTGAACCCTACCTTTTAAGAAGGAGGGATAAGGAACAAAGCAGCCCCTTCCCCTCTAATTGTGGTGGCTCCAGCCCTCCATGACCTTGACCCAGGTCAGGCAAGGGCAGAGGTAAGGAATCTTTGAGGACCAAGCCCAGTGGTCTGGGAAGAGGGAAGTAGAGAGGGAAGGGTCTGACTTGGGGACTCTCTCCTCCCAACCCAACCCCTTAGAGAAGCGACCAAATCCCAGAGATGGGAGGAAGCTGGGGTGGGGAGGGTCTGCTCTTTGAATTACTTGAAGGTACTGACTCCAAGGCTGCTGTTGCCCACTTAGGTGTGAGGGGGATGCTGTCTCTGCATTTGGGAGGGCAGAGGATGGCGGGTGATGGAGGATCGCCCTTGGCCCTCGTTCACTCCTGCTAAGCCCTTTCTCTGGGGAATCTGGAAGCCTGGCTTTGCCCCCAGAGAAGTTGGGGAGAACCTCCCCTCCCATCTCCACCCCTCACTCTGGGCACCCTCTCCAATTGCACTAAAGTAGCTGTTGTGCCAGTCTTACCCCACACCAGGGGGGTCTCTGCTTCCAGTCTTTTCCCCCACTGCCTCTGCTCCCATCCCGGACAATCTCCTTGTTCCCCTGGTATTCCTGGATAGCTCAGCTTTGTATGTGTGTGTTTGGGGGGTGGGGATGGGTTCTGGCTGGAGTGGGTTTGGCAGGGGTTTGGGAAGGGCTAGGGGAAAGATGGAGGGTGAAGTCTCCTAACCGCTTCCCCAACTCCAAGCCGCAGAAGCCTGGGAGGGAGAGTGCCTACTCTTGCTGCCACGTGTCTTGCAGATGTGCCAAAATCGGGGTGGGTGGGGGGGAGGGTGCCTGGCAGAGCAGCCCCCAGGGTGGCTCTCTCAAAGCAATACAGTTCCCCTGCCTGGGGGACAGCAAGACAGGGGAGAGGGTTGGGGTGGGGACCTGGGAGTTCCCCATGTACAGCTGTGTATATTCAGGGGTATTCTCTGTCTGGTACCCGCTGTGGGCATCTATGTGTGTGTGAACCTCCCCTTCCCCATGCCCTGCATGACCTGTGATGCTGCAGACACCACCATCCTGTGTGCAGGTGTGTGTTGGGGGGCACGGAGGGGCATGTTCCATGTCCTGTTGCACCCTCCACCCTGTGACCCATGTACTCGGTTGTAGGAAGTAAAGAGAACTGAGCACAATTCACTGGATTCTAGTCGAATCTTTCTGTAAGCAATTTACCCATTCCTGCCCTCTCCCTGCCCTGGATCCACCTGTGGTGCTAGTGTTGGGGTTGGGGGTGTTTAATGCTGGTGGGCAGCAATAAAGGGCAGATCTGCCCAGTCCTGCACCCCCAGGGTACTGAGGGCAGCAGGAAAAAGTGGGGACCTCAGTGCATTTGCCCCGTGCCTCCCCCTCCTCCCTGACCTAAAGCACAATGCTCTCCCTGCAGACTGATGCACCCTGCACCCTCCAGGCCCCTACTCATGTCCTCTCCAACCTGCTTTGAGTCCTCCCACCACACCCTGGTTTTCTATGCTGTTTTGGTGCAAGTACAACTGTCGTAGTCATGGCTTTGGGATGGGTTCTGTTTATTAAAATCCTATTGCTCCTACTGGCCCTGTGTCCCGCCTCCTTTCCTGTGGTTGGGGGGAAGGAAGGGCAACCTGGACCCCTCTCCACTGGCCCTGTCAGCCATCAGAGACCAGGGGCAATAGCTGCTCCTCCAGCAGGGCTATGGTAAGCATGAGGCTGCCCCCCAGCAGCAGCCCCAGCCCCTGCAGTAGCACATCCAGCATAGGCAGGGGCTCAGGAGGACGAAGCAGGGCTGGTAACTGAAAGAAAAGAAGGATGTTAGGATTCTGGCCTTGTTTCTGACCTCTAAACATGAGAGGGAAGGTGTCAGAAAGTCTCAGCAGCCCCCACCCGATACTTTCAGTCCCTCATTTCTCAGACTCTTCCAGACCGGTGGTCCAACACCTTGCAGCAGCTGGTGGTGGAGGTGGAAGGACTGATACCTCCCTCTCCTCCACACCCACCTCCCCACTTCCCTTGGTTTCTCTGCCCTACCCCACACCTCTCACCATGTCCACAAGGGCCACATAGAGGAAGATCCCAGCAGTGATCCCAAATACCCAGGGAGTGAGGGGGACAGGGCCCAAGCTGAGCCCCACCCCCAGGGCAGCGCCCCCCAGTCCCAGGGCTCCAGACACGAGGCTCAGCAGCAGCAGCCGCCGGAAAGACAGCCCTGCCTGGAGTAGCATTGCAAAATCACCTGTTGGGGAGAGGACAGGAAAGAAGGGAATAAGCCAGGACTGCCCCTCACCCATGTCACCAGCCTCCAGGTTCTACCCTTTGGAGGGATCTCCTTGCTGGAGCCCACTCCACCCCACTTCTGCCATTCCTACCCAGTTCGTGGGGCAGCTCATGGCAGAAGACTGCTAGGGTGGTGCTGAGGCCACTAGAGAAGCCGTCAGAGAAGGCAGCACCTGGGTTCCACAGGAGCAGAGGGGGTTAGTCCAGAAGAAAGTTTCCTCAGGAGCACGCTCCTGCATTCCCTCTGTAGTTCTCCCATCCTCTCCCCACCCTCCTGGCAGCCCTCTCCCAGAAGCCCTAGCCTGTCCCTAGACCAGCTCCCTCCATTCCCTCCCTGCACACCTATGGCCAGCCCATCAGTAAGGTTGTGCAGACCATCTCCCAGGAGGACCATCCATGTGATGTTGGTGCCACCTTGGTGCCCATGACTATGGCCTTGGTGCCCAGAAGGGGCTGGGGCTGGTGGGGGTTGGCTGTCTGCCTTCTGGCCCTGAGCCCCTGGCTCTACAAGAAGAAGGACAAAGACACTGTTGGTGACTGCAAATGAGGACTATGAGCTGGGAACATAGTCTTCATTTTTTCTCCTAATCACCTGGAGTTGCCTGTAGGGGCTGAAGGGCCATCCCACTGCCATCCTCCGGGTCCAGGTTTGGTGTTGCGAGATCCCTTCTTTTTCGCCTGCAGCATCTCTGAAATAGGAAGGTATCCCTCCTGATGGAGGAGGCACCAGAGCCAGGGGCTAAGGGGAAGCCAAGCTACAAGCTGGGAAAATGAACACCTGCTTCCACCTCTGGCACCTGTGATGTTCTTTGGCCTCTACTCTTTTCCCAGATTGGCACCTTTGTTTCTTGTTGACTTGAACTACGAAGAGGAGGCGATTTGGCCAGAAATCCTGCATCTGTGCTTAAGGATCCCCTCCCCATTCCCTGTTAGCTGATAGGTCTTGCACAGTCAGGCAAACATCAGAGATCCAGGAGCACATGCTGCCCCTCACCTCCTGGCTTGTTTAGCCTGTTCCTGGCTAGGACTCTGGTCTTGGCAGAAGGAAAAGAAAAGGGTGTCACTCACTGGCCTGAGCCCTTGGTGCCGCAAAAGCCCTAGCATGTTCTCCAGCACGAAGAGCAGGAAGAGGCCTCCGAGCACCAATAGCCCTGGACTCAGGTCCTCTTCTGGTCGCCCGCTAGGTCCTGCGTGCTGCCCCTCTTGTACCTAACAGAGAGGAGGTCAGGGCAGAACCCAGGAGCTGCTACACCCAACAATATCCTCCTCCCTTGTGGGAGGTGGCAAGCCTTCACTCATACACTCTACTAGAATGCAGCTGTGGGCTGAAACCAGGGGTGGGGGAATTGGCATATGGGAGCTGACAGAAAGGGGGAGGCAATGCCCTGTGGCTGGGGACACCTTGGATCTATGGAGGCCATCTGCCACTGGGGACAGGGGTACAAGGAAGGGGCTTCACGTACATGAGGCAGCAGGTGTAGCAGTGCATCCCCACAAAGAGTGCCCACGGCCAGGGCACCCAGGAAGCCCAGCAGGGGCCGCAATAGACGAGGTCCCAGGAGCCGCAACAACAGCAGGGAGAGGGGAGCAGGGAGACTGAGTAACAGGACTGCCAGGGCACTATGAAGCAAGGCTGGGGAAAATGGGGCTGAAGTTAGGCCAGGACCCAGAGGGAAGTTGGGGCAGAAATGTGCTGCAAGGACAGGCAGGACCCCAATGAACCCACTTCCTTGGCATGGCCAGGATTTGGGGTGCCCCCCGTCCACTCCTACTCACTGACCAGATACTAGATTCACTGGGGGAGCAGGGGTTGGGGCTTGGATGCAGACACGGCTGTCGATCTGATAAAGCAGGGCTGGGCACAGCAGAGCAAACTGATGAGGGGTCAGAGGAGCAGCAGGGCTCAGACCAAAGTTGACCAGCAGCTGAGAGCCGTTCAGACACTAGGGGAGTTGAGTTGAAGGTCATACATTGGGGAATCACTCAGAACTATGACTGAGATCATTAACATCTGTCCCTCCCTTGCTTGAACTCTTGAGTCTCCCCAAGGGTCCCCTTTGCTCACACTGGCAGGTGCAGTGGGGACTGAGGGGCAAGGGTACTTAAAATAAATGTGTGTTAATTATTAGTGAATATTCAATCCAATGCATATATTCAATTCAGTGCAAACTGAATGCTGGTGAACCCTGATCATTTTGTGGATTTGGTGATGGAGCTAGTTGGACAACTAGAGCTCTGTATGCCAGAATCTTAGAATGAAAAGAACCTGGAAAATCATCCAACCTTCCTCTTTTTTTTTTTTTTTTTTTTTACATAGAAATAGCACATTGACAACCTTCCTCTTAATAGCTCCAACACATGTTCATCCAGCCTTGGCTTGAATGCTTTCTTGCAAGATAGGGTACTCATTGGGCCTGCTTCAGGGTTAGGCAGCTTTATCTACCTCTCGTGCATGTGAAACAAGTTCACTGTCTTTCTAGATGAAGACAGCTGTCCTCTCCCTATAGGTCTCATCCCCTGTCCCCCAATAACCATCCCCAGAGCCTACTTGGGTTAGTTCTCTGGAGTCTCTGCTTTGCCAAGTGTGGTGCTAAACTGGGTCTTGGCTCACTTGCTCTGAGCCCAGAGGGAACATCTTTCACTATTGGAATAACATACCTCAAGACCACATTGGGATTTTTTTAAAGTGACTATTAAATTACTGACTCTTTAAACATTTCAGGCCATCTAATCCCATGGCTCCTCCCCCCTCTCTAGAGACCATGAGACTCACATCCTCATTCAAATGATCAGCCAACGAGTGGTCCAGCAGCAGAAGCCTGTGAAAGAGGTCCAGGCCCGAGGGGGCTGGCCCATGGGGTAGGTGGGAGGCCTTTGACTCCTCCAGATCATCCCACCCTGAGGGACCCAGAGGCATCTCTGCCCAGACATCCACACTCAGCTCAGGATCCTGTGGCCTGGAATGGATGGGATAACAAGTCAGACTCACTCCTGTTATCTCAGAAACCCACCTTGACATATTCCCAGGGAACTTAGGGGAAAAGGGAGGACCAGCCACTGGCTGGAGTTCCTGAGACCCAGAAGTTGTGGAATGTACATCCTAGGAAGATCCGAGAATTGTCAATTTATAGGAGAGTCTAGGAATGGGAGCCGTGGGGGTGACAGAAAACAAAAGACAGACAAAAGTGCTGCAAATTGGAAGCCAAGTCAGCCTGGAGACATTTAGCATTGGGACTAACAGTAAGAAATTTAAGGGAGGCCGGGCGCGGTGGCTCACGCCTGTAATCCTAGCACTCTGGGAGACCGAGGCGGGCAGATTGCTCAAGGTCAGGAGTTCAAAACCAGCCTGAGCAAGAGCGAGACCCCGTCTCTACTATAAATAGAAAGAAATTAATTGGGTGAGCCCAGGAGTTTGAGGTTGCTGTAAGCTAGGCTGACGCCATGGCACCTTACCTGGGCAACAAAGAGAGACTGTCTCAAAAAAAAAAAAAAATAAGGCTGGGCGCGGTGGCTCATGCCTGTAACCTAGCTCTCTGGGAGACCGAGGCGGGCGGATTGCTCAAGGTCAGGAGTTCTAAACTAGCCTGAACAAGAGCGAGACCCGTCCTCTACTATAAATAGAAATTAATTGGCCAACTAATATATATATAGAAAAATTAGCCGGGCATGGTGGCGCATGCCTGTAGTCCCAGCTACTCGGGAGGCTGAGGCAGCAGGATGCTTGAGACCAGGAGTTGAGGTTGCTGTGAGCTAGGCTGATGCCAGGGCACTCACTCTAGCCTGGGCAACAAAGCGAGACTCTGTCTCAAAAAAAAAAAAAAACACTGTGGTAAGTACAATGATAGTGATATGCACAGAGTTATGGAGCTCAAGGAAGTCATTGCACACACTAGCTCCAATCACACATTTCAAATATATATAAAAATATGACTTGTTATTATCTTTAGGGGGTGAGATTTTGTATAATAATCTTTTTGCTTATTCTTATCTATATTTTCTAAAATGGACATCATCATTGTGGTACACACACACTGGTTTGGTTGGTTGGTTTTTAAGATCCTCCTTACTGTTTTTTTTTTTGAGACAGTCTCTCTTTGTTGCCCAGGCTAGAGTGCCATGGCGTCAGCCTAGCTCACAGCAACCTCAAACTCCTGGGCTTAAGCAGTTCTTCTGCTTCAGCCTCCAGAGTAGCTGGGACTACAGGCATGCAGCACCATGCCCAGCTAATTTTTTTTTCTATATATATTTTTAGTTGTCCAGATAATTTATTTCTATTTATAGTAGGGACGGGGTCTCGTTCTTGCTCAGTTTCGTCTCCAACTCCTGACCTCAAGCAATCCTCCTACCAGAGTGCTAGGATTACAGGCCTGAGCCAGCCCACCCAGGCTTCTCTCTTCCTTTGATCTCTATTTTTAATCCATCTACCTGGATTGCCTATCTCCCCAGTGTCTCTACTGTTCCCCACCTATCTCTCTAGTTTCCCCAAAAATAAGACAGGGTCTTATATTTATTTTCCTCAAGAAGACCACCTAGGGCTTTTTTTTTTTTTTTTTTTTTGAGACAGAGTCTCATTTGTTGCCCAGGCTGGAGTGAGTGCCATGGTGTCAGCCTAGCTCACAGCAACTCAACTCTGGGCTTAACAATCCTCCTGCCTCAGCCCTCCAAGTAGCTGTGACTACAGGCATGTGCCACCAATGCCCAGCTAATTTTTTTTTCCTATATATTTTTTAGTTGGCCAATTCATTTCTTCTATTTTTAGTAGAGACGGGTCTCACTCTTGCTCAGGCTGGTTTCGAACTCCTGACCTCGAGCAATCCCCGGCCTGGGCCTCCCAGAGTGCTAGGATTATAGGCATGAGCCACCGTGCCTGATTTCTTCCTTACATTTGTTTTTTTCTTTTTTGAGACAGATTCTCGATTTGTTGCCCAGGCTAGAGTGAGTGCCATGGCGTCAGCCTAGCTCACAGCAATCTCAAACTCCTGGGCTCAAGCAATCCTCTGCCTCAGCCTCCCGAGTAGCTGGAACTACAGGCATGCGCCACCATGCCTGGCTAATTTTTTCTATATAATATAGTTGGCCATTAATTTCTTTCTATTTATAGTAGAGATGGGGTCTCACTCTTGCTCAGGCTGGTTTCGAACTCCTGACCTCGAGCAATCCACCCGCCTCGTGAGCCACCTCGCCCGGGCTTCCTTACATTTTAATATAAAAACTTCAGGCCCTTTCTTTTCCTGTGCTTCTCCAGTTTTACAGTCACTTTTGGTAAAGAGGCATTTCTTAGAGGTTCTAGAGCCTAGAACTAAACAACTAATTCTAAATCTGACTCCCAGTGATACAGAGATGAGTAAGAGAGAAAAATATCATACCAGAGTTAATCACAAAAAAAAAAGGAAAATAAAAAGCAAAATAAAGTAGCAACTTCAAAATGATTATTTGAATCTTCTCTGGGGCTTCATTCGTACCCCAAGCCCCTTCTTTTTGCACATGGTCCAGTTGGAATTATGTGTTCAGTCATGCGTGGTGAAGATTGTGCCACTTTCTGGGGCATGGAGGTTGGCCTTGGGATGGACCCTTCTCCTACTTTAACTCTCTAATTCCTGTGTTTCCTCCATCTTCTCCCACAACTAGCCTCTGAGAGCCAGAACGGGAATGGACTGAGTACTCCACCCAGGTCCTGGTGGTGGCCGCATCCCCCTCACACTCCTGCCCACACCCCCTAGCACCCGAATCACTCGAAGCCAACCCAACCACACACCTGCAGGCCTCCGGCCCCTCCAGCAACCCTGTTAGTAACGGCAAAGAAAACCCGGAGAGGAAGCAAGAGATAGCAAGACATTCTTCCTCCCTTCCTGCCACCAACCAATATCCAAGTGTCTCTGCCAGAGAGCGCAGACAACCTTCTAACCCTGGGCTGCTGGCTTTGGATTAGGGTAGGGGGAGAAGTATTTTAGCCACTAAACTTTACTGGAGGGATGGTGAGCAGTGGCCTTATCCACCCAGCAAAGCTGCCTGTCCCTGGTATTCGGGACCCCTGTGCCTGCCTGCCTTCCCTCTTTAGAAACAACAGTTGCAATCTGTTTCTTCTGTGTTGTGAAATGGGAAGTTTAATTGAAATGCTTCCTTCCTAATAAATGTTAGCCACTCTGTACTGGACTCCTTTGCTTTTTGTGGAAAAAGGAAGAGGTTAGCAGCTGGGCATTTGGAAGGCAGGGTGTCCTAGAAGGTGGCAAAGAAGACCAGGTTACAGGTAAGGAGCTAGGCAAAGGCAGACGCTGCCCCTTTCAAGGTAGTGTACGCTCCCTGCCCTCTCCCTGGGCAGGTGACCCTTGCCGCTCCTGCACTC